CCCCCGGTGTCCCCTCCCCGGGCGGTGGCACCCCGGGGTGCCCCACCCCACCCGGACCCCATTTAAGGCCCGTCCCCGGTGTCCCCGGTGTCCCCGATGTCCCCGATGTCCCCGGCCATGGTTGGTCGCCGGCTGCCCTCGGCCCTCGGGCTCCTGCTGCTCTGCCTGTGTCTCCCAGGTGGGACTGGGATATACTGGGAGGGACTGGGAAAGACTGGGATGGGGACTGGGGTATACTGGGAGGGAGTGGGAGAGACTGGGATGGGGACTGGGGTATACTGGGAGGGACTGGGGTGGAGATTGGGTTCCCCTTCCTGCCCCGGCGACTGGGCTGGGGACTGGGATGGACTGGACTGGGATGGAGACTGGGTTCCCCTTCCCACCTAGGGGACTGGGATGGGGACTGGGATATACTGGGACGGACTGAGATGGAGACTGGGAGGGACTGGGATGGAGACTGCAATGGAGACTGGGTTCCCCCTCCTGCCCAGGGGACTGGGATGAGGACTGGGATGGAGTCTGGGATACACGGGGAGGGACTGGGATGGAGACTGAGATGGAGACTGGGTTCCCCTTCCCGCCCAGGGGACTGGGATGGGGTCTGGGATTTACTGGGAGGGACTGGGATGGAGACCGGGGGGGACTGGGATGGGGACTGGGATATACTGGGACAGACTGGGATGGAGACTGGGTTCCCCTTCCCACCTAGGGGACTGGGATGGGGACTGGGATATACTGGGACGGACTGAGATGGAGACTGGGAGGGACTGGGATGGAGACTGCAATGGAGACTGGGTTCCCCCTCCTGCCCAGGGGACTGGGATGGGGACTGGGATATACTGGGAGGGACTGGGATGGAGACTGGGATGGAGACTGGGATCCCCTTCCCACCCAGGGGACTGGGATGGGGACTGGGATGTACTGGGAGGGAGTGGGATGGAGACTGGGTTCCCCCTCCTGCCCAGGGGACTGGGATGGGGACTGGGATATACTGGGAGGGACTGGGATAGGGACTGGGATGGAGACCGGGATCCCCCTCCTGCCCAGGGAACTGGGATGGGGACTGGGATATACTGGGAGGGACTGGGATGGAGACTGGGTTCCCCCTCTTGCCCAGGGAACTGGGATGGGGACTGGGATATACTGGGAGGGACTGGGATGGGGACTGGGATGTACTGGGAGGGAGTGGGATGGAGACTGGGTTCCCCCTCCTGCCCAGGGGACTGGGATGAGGACTGGGATGGAGTCTGGGATACACGGGGAGGGACTGGGATGGAGACTGAGATGGAGACTGGGTTCCCCTTCCCGCCCAGGGGACTGGGATGGGGTCTGGGATTTACTGGGAGGGACTGGGATGGAGACCGGGGGGGACTGGGATGGGGACTGGGATATACTGGGAGGGACTGGGATGGAGACTGGGTTCCCCCTCTTGCCCAGGGAACTGGGATGGGGACTGGGATATACTGGGAGGGACTGGGATGGAGACTGGGTTCCCCCTCTTGCCCAGGGAACTGGGATGGGGACTGGGATATACTGGGAGGGACTGGGATGGAGACTGGGTTCCCCCTCTTGCCCAGGGAACTGGGATGGGGACTGGGATATACTGGGAGGGACTGGGATGGAGACTGGGTTCCCCCTCTTGCCCAGGGAACTGGGATGGGGACTGGGATATACTGGGAGGGACTGGGATGGAGACTGGGTTCCCCCTCTTGCCCAGGGAACTGGGATGGGGACTGGGATATACTGGGAGGGACTGGGATGGAGACTGGGTTCCCCCTCTTGCCCAGGGGACTGGGATGGGGACTGGGATATACTGGGAGGGACTGAGATGGGGACTGGGTTCCTCTTCCCACCCAGGGGATGGGATATACTGGGAGGGACTGGGATGGACTGGGATGGAGACGGGGATGGAGACTGGGTTCCCCTTCCCACCTAGGGGACTGGGATGGGGACTGGGATATACTGGGAGGGACTGGGATGGAGACTGGGTTCCCCCTCTTGCCCAGGGAACTGGGATGGGGACTGGGATATACTGGGAGGGACAATGGAGACTGGGTTCCCCCTCCTGCCCAGGGGACTGGGATGAGGACTGGGATGGAGTCTGGGATACACGGGGAGGGACTGGGATGGAGACTGAGATGGAGACTGGGTTCCCCTTCCCGCCCAGGGGACTGGGATGGGGTCTGGGATTTACTGGGAGGGACTGGGATGGAGACCGGGGGGGACTGGGATGGGGACTGGGATATACTGGGACAGACTGGGATGGAGACTGGGTTCCCCTTCCCACCCAGGGCACTGGGATTGGGACTGGCATATACTGGGAGGGACTCGGATGGGGACAGGGAGGGACTGGGGTGACTGGGAAGGACTGGGATGGATTGGGAGGGACTGGGGGGATTGGGAGGGACTGGAGAGACTGGGAGGGAGACTGGAAGGATGGAGAGGGAGACTGTGGGGACTGTGGAGAACTGGAACGGAGACTGGGATCGACTGGGGATGACTGGGAAGGACTGGGGTGGATTGGGAAGGACTGGGATGGGAACTGGGAGGGACTCAGAGGGACTGAGTTGGAGACTGGAGGGACTGGGAGGGAGACTGTGGGGATTGTGGGGAACTGGGACGGAGACTGCGATGGACTGGGGGCGACTGGGAAGGACTGGGATGGATTGGGAGGGAGTAGGATGGGAACTGGGAGGGAGTAGGATGGGAACTGGGAGGGACTGGGGAGGAGACTGGGGGGATTGGGATGGAC